GTTCCTTGTTGAAAGGCACGAATCCTTCCGCTCTCGTCAGTGCGAACTTTGCCCATTGCGGGGTGCGGGTTGGGGGGGGCGGCGGTGGGTGTCGCGGGTGGGTGAGGTTGGGGGTTAGCTGTGAAGGGAAACGTCGGCGGAGCACGGGTGATGGCGAAGGCGTACGCGGCGCCGAAGCGACGCGCGCGAAGCGACGCGCGCATGCGCCCCGTCAGATGGCGGCAGATTTCCGCCTCCTGAGGCCCTCGTGCGGGCAGTGCGGGCAGAGAGAAGAAAAGCCTCCACGATCGTGCCAATGTACACGCGCCAAGTGCCAAGTCCACATTCGCAACAACCAATGCATCGCCGCCACATGGTCCAATGATCTCCATAAAATTTCGGCCAGACTTCACGTTCAGGCGCGCTGACAAGTGAAAAAGTATGAAAAATAACAAGCAGTGCGCTCTGCACGCGAGCGGGGCAGCACGGGAGAGACAACTACGTAGAACACTCTGTTTAACTGTGCAGCACTCTACCACTGTACAGTATACCACTGTACAGTGCGGCATTCCCATTTACCGCAACTCCACACTACCGTACGTAGTACGTACTACGTACGGTAGGTGGAGTCTACCGTACGTACTACGTACCTCACCTGATGCCATGCTCGTTGATGCCCGTGACACATTCATCTCAGCAACAACCAAAAAAAAAAAAAAAAGGGGTGGGGGGGGGGGCGGGGTTACCAACCCAATCCTCTACTGCACTAAGAAAAAAAAAAACCTACGACACCCTCCCACAAGTTAGTTCTGCAGCGGGGGCCTCGGGTCATTCGAAAACGTCCTCCTCAAACTCGTCCTGCGCCACCTTATCCTCGCACAAGAACATCTTGACATCCTCCTTAAACTTGCGGACGACTCTGTCATAAATGGCCAAGTCGACGCGCTCGACCTCCTTGTACCGTTTCCTCTGGCCCTCATCCATGGCGCCCCAGATCTTCTTGGCGGTCCACGGGTAGCCGCCGGCGTTGAGCCTGCGCGTGGTCTCGGCGAGCTTGGGGGTACCGAGCAGGTAATCAATGCCGTGCTCGTGCGCAAGCACCTGCATGGCGCGCTGCAGCATGCACTGGCTCGCTTCGCCTTGAAGCTGCAGGCCGACAAAGACAAACTGGCGGTCGACGCGATCCACGGCGAGGCGGATAGCCTCGTCCTGCTTGTCGACGGGAATGTGGTACCGATGGTCGTCGCCAAAGCCCTTGTGGCCATCTGATAGTAGGCGCGAAGCATAGTAGTTGGGGCCCGAGTCGCGTGTACGCGAGTCTGGCGGCAGGCCTTCCCCTAGTAGGAAGGCGATGACCTCGTCCTTGTGGGCGGCGGTCTCCTCCCTGCCCAAGTTTCTGACGAAAAAGTGATAGAAAAATGAGAGCTTCCTTGGCAGAGGATGACGGAAGATGGAAAAGTGCTTGACGACGCGCTTGGCACCAAAGATGGCATTGCAGCCGTTCTCCCAGTACTGATGACCCATCATGACGTCGATGGCGTCCCTCTCCTTGTCAGTCATATTCAGGATCTTATGAAAATCACAGCGCCACAACTTCTCGACCGACTCATCCTTGCCCTTGGGGGCCTCCAGCTGGTAGCACGTCTCGACCGGCTGCATGGGCTGGCCCCTCTTGGTGAGCTTGTCGCGATTCTCGTCACGGTTGAGCAGAAACAAGAGCTCGACCTTGGTGCTAACGCCGCCCGTCTTGTGCATATGAAAGTAGTTGAGCATGGTGCGGTTGGTGAAGGCTAGTCTCCGCTGCACCTGCATCAAGTTGGAATCATCCGCGAGCTCTGACGCGGGCCACGACCGGGCCCACGAGACGCGGTCCTCTGGCGGTACCTCCTTCTCCACTCTCTCCACTCTCTGCTCCGCGGCGAGCTTTAGACTGGCCGCTTCCCTCCGCTCATCCTTGAGCTCATTAACCTCGTTCCCTTCATTGACCTTGTTAATCTCGTTGACCTTGTTCCCTTCGGCGACGTCCTTCCGGGGGTCCTCTGGCGCCAGCCGTACGGTCTGCCGGCCGTGAAGCGGGTCGGTTGCCTGTGCCGCGACATGGACGGCGACGGCGGGCGACGGGGGCGGAGGCGGGGGGTGTGCGCGGGGCGGGGCGGCGGGGACGGGATCGAGGGTGCTTGCCACCAACAC